GAAAAATAACCCAATATCACTTATTGATTAAACAGCGAATTGCAGAAACTTTGTTTTAGGTTCGCTGTAATTATTATTGCGACTACATGTTTTATTTTTGCTATACATAGAGTCATCCGATGAGGATTCTTTCCCGAGGGCATTTCAAGCGAGGAATCATTTTCAATGCAAGTTTTCATTGTGTATTATAATGTCAGTTCATTGGAATTGTAATACTACAAGCTTGGCCGAATGAAGGCATCTCACAGTTAAGTACGAATAATCATAAGATACCCTTTTGAAAGCAACAATGATGCTGAAATTTTGGCCATAGCAAAGTTCATATCAAACCTTTTGGTTTTTTGTGTGTGTTAGTTCTGTTTTCTTATTCCACTGTCGCTCACTCAAGAACATTGAAAATGAAAATTTTCTCACGTAACGTTGAATATTATAGAAGATTACACACGTAATTCGTTCAAAAAGGGTCTTACAGGGGTATTCCTATGAAGAGTGGTAAGCTAATTTTATTTTCCGTGAAACGTGAAATTAAGAAATTATATCATTTTTCGTGATCCGTGACCTGTAGGTTTTGCGAGACCCGTGAAGAACTTGAATTACTGACCTATATTCGTGATTTAACCACTCTATTCTTCGTGATTTTAAGACGAAAGTCCTCCGAATGGTTAGAAAGTTATTTAGGTATGCAATTTGCAGTAAGGAGTCTTTACATTGCCTTTCACCATTTTGCTGTCTTCAAACGATCTTTCTAGCGTAAGAGCAGGTTATTAAAAAAGGTACCTTTCTTGCTTCTTTTCGTGATTCGGGAAATTAAATTTTGGTATCCGTGATCCGTGATTCGCTATTGCTTGCTTTTTTTCCGCTCGTGGACCGTGCTAGAGACCCTCCTGTACGACCCTCTTTAAAATTAAAGCATCTACTATCTTTCTGATTGTTTCTCTTAGTGATAGAGTGGTTGTCCAGTGACATACCTAAATATTGATCTCCAACCAAAATAAATCGTGATCGCATGAAGATTAATTAGATCTTTTTCGTCCACAACCAAGGCCAAAACTGCATTATTTTCCACTTGGGACCAAGTCTCATAGGATCTGAGCAAAAGACCAACTGAAAAATCACATTGCAATTTCCCCTCAAAGATATGAGAAACTAGGTATCCGTGGGTAGCACAGCTGAATTTGTCTGGTTCTTCAAACTGTTTCAACTTTGTAAGAGTCTGCAGGACGCCACATTAAAAATTTCATCCGATTAGATTATTGCATTTTCTTATCTTATGTTTCCGCTCTTGAAAAATGACTGACTTAGTCTTCTTAAAGTCCTCGATACAACATCTTGTAGTCGGTTAAATAAACAACTGACTAGCATATTTCATTATTGTTGATTGAATGAAATGTTATCCCAACATCAGCTGTTTAACAGAGAATTGCAGAAAGTTTGTTCAGGTTTGCTGTAACAATTACTGCAACGACTGTTTTTCTCCTCAGAGTCATCGCAATGAGGATTCTTTCCCGAGAACTTTCCAAGCAAGGAATCGTTTCCAACGCAATCTTTCATTGCGAATTGATGTTCATCGGAATCGTAATACTACAAGCTTGGCCGAACGAAGGCATCTCGCAGAGCAAAACCTCACAGTCAAGTACGTATTTTCAAAAGTATCGTTTTGAAAGCAACAACGCTATTGAAATTTTGGCCTTATAATTAAAGGATATTATATAGCCGCTCGGAGATATACAAAAGTTCTTTTCGAGTGTTTTCAACATGGGAAGAGAAATTTCCTATCTCCAAGCGTCCATGTAATTTTCTTTTTATAATATAAAACTATCATAATACATAATGGCGTTTTTAGCAATTTTCCGAAGATTTCCCACCACTTTGCGAAAATTTCCGAAGATTCTCCAAAAGTAGTCCGAAGGCAAGACGCACGTTTCCGGAAATTTTACCAAAAGTTCCGAAGATTGCCGGGGATGGATCGCCAAGTACTTCCGAAGAACATCCGAAGATGTTTCGATCATACACCAGCACATTTAAGTGCTAAGGGAAAAAAATGAGATCACGCGTGTGGATAAAAATAATATCCTAACATGTAAGATGTCGGTTTTATTGATCTGCTA